CGACGGCTTTCTTCCGCGTGCCTTTGAATCCCTTCCCTTTGCGCGCCTTCCTACATCCCCGGTCTGCGCGGCTGATATAATGTCTTTGTTCCGATGCAGCGCAGCCGCCGGGAAGGTCCCTTCGGATGAGTGTTGGGCTTCCCCCCCCCCCCCCCCCGGCAGCCTTAAGCGAGAGTTGCTTGGATTTGGCCAAGAGTTGCCAGAGGCTGGTTGGGAGCGCAGATGGAAGGCTGGTTTGCCAGATAAGGGGCGGGATGGGGGGATAGGGATAAAGAAAGGAAAGTCCTTCGAGGGGGGGGGGGGGAAAGCTAGCAACACATTTAGAAATAAGGACCTCAGTTGTACCATAATTGGGAGGATGTATAATAAGAGTCTCATGTACGCCACCTACTTCCATGCTGAATGTGGTTTGATGTATTTTTCTCTTGGGTGATGTTACTTTTCACGTGAAGGCAGTGTTTCTCAACCTTGGTCACTTGAAGAGGTCTGGACTTCAACTCCCAGAATTCCCCCAGCCAGCATTCGCTGGCTGGGGAATTCTGGGAGTTGAAGTCCAGACCTCTTCAAGTGGCCAAGGTTGAGAAACACGGCTCTACTGCCTTCATTCGCTGGCTGGGGAATTCTGGGAGTTGAAGTCCGGACATCTTCAAGTGGCCAAAGTTGAGAAACACTGCAGTAGAGGGATTTAATACAGGGCAGTATTAAAATACATTGTTGTACTATTAAAACTCCCCTCCCCCCAATCTCCTTTGGCTGAATTCTGCCTGAAATCACTTAGATCAGCAAGTAGGAGAAAATGAAAGAGGAACTGTGTCATGTAAACAGTGAGACCTGTAGGAAGTAATGCCGTTTGCATTACTGTTCATCTGCAGTAACAATAGATGGCATCACAAAGGACGGTTCCTGCCTTCTAAAAGTCTAAATCGAGAGATTCAAAACCTTTATGAACTTATCCCTTGATTGCCTCTATAGGAAATCACTAGAAGCATCTTTCAGTCCGACAGAACAGAAGTGAGAACGGTTGCTATGCCTTGGAATCTTGCTTTGGCGTCTTTAATTTTAATTTTAAGGTTGCAAATGGGATGGAGCTGCTGTGGCATTTCAGCCGAAGCACTAGCTAAAGTCCCACTGATTGCAAAGAGGCTATTAAATGCAAGCTCAGAAGACTTGGCTGTGTGTGATATTTGAAGAAACCACCTTCAAACTATTGTTGGGTTCCAAGTTCCATTAAGCTTAGCCATCATGGGAAATTATCAGTATTCATGGGAATTTATCTAGCAGTACCTGGAAGGCCATATGCTTCCCATCTGCACATAACATAATTTCTAAGAAAGCAATAGCAATAGCAATAGCAGTAGACTTATATACCGCTTCATAGGCCTTTCAGGCCTCTCTAAGCGGTTTACAGAGAGTCAGCATATTGCACCCAACAAGCTGGGTTGTCATTTTTCCCCCCTCGGAAGGATGGA